GAGGTAGGACAGCTAGAGACCAGGCATATGAGGTATGGGGAGGGTGGTTTGGTGGATGGGGAAAATATAAAATAAATAAATAAAATCATATACTTTATGTCTGATCTGGAATAAAAGATTAAGTTGACTACTCAATACTAAAGGCACTAAAATGACTTTTCCATCACATATTAGACATGGTTTTGACTTAAATTCCTTTTCACTGTCTCCAATGTCGCATTGACACTCAAAGGGAAATATTAAGTTCTTGAGAAATTTTTAAAAAACACTAGGTACATCTCAAGATATTTCAATTCCTTTATTTACTGTCAGGTTTAAAGGTTTTAGAGAAAAGGGACCACAAAATACTCTAGAAACTATTTTAGTACCTTTTGGGAAAGACTTCTAAGTGTTCTCTATGTATTTGCAGTATTATTGTATGCCTGGCTTCCCCAAAGCTTTGAATCAAAACCATTTTGTCTTTTCAACTATTCTGCACATGATCATCAGGTTTTACTCTATGTGAAGCCCATTATTCAAGGATAAATAAAACAAGAATGAATTCACTTTCCAGTAGCTAATTACATAGTACCTGACCCAATCTCAACACCAAAATCATTATGACCATGAGGTGACATATGGAAATCATATTCTCTTTAAAGTCACAAATACATAAGAGAAGAGGATTGGGAGTTGGGGGAGGGTTATTAAGTCAGGAGCTGAGACTGCTGAATAGGCTACTATGCCATAACCCTGTGCTGCACAAGGAACAAATGGTGAGAGAAGTGGATGTATACAAAGCATAATTTCCTGGGGAAGGTGAAAGTGATTTCTGGATTTTTCAGTTTGACAGGTGAGAGTCCCCAGAGATGATGAACTTTGCAACTGGAGAACACAGAACTGAAGTCAAAGGAAGGCTCTTGGAATTGAGAGGGTTGAAGGAACAAGATAATGCCGTGTTCTTAGTGTGGATGTAAAACAGCTGCGAGGCCAGAGGGATGATCAAGTCTTGATCTGTGCTCCAGTGTCTCCAAAGGGCAAAAGTCTGAAGGCAGCTTTGAGCCATGAAGGTTGGCTGAGACCTCCTGATTCCCATAGGGAGGCAGAGGGTATATTAGAAAGTTTCCAGAAATTTATATCAGGTAATAACTGTGGTTGCAGAAAGCACCTGGAAGGGAAGCTGGCATGAAAAAAGAGGAGGAGGCCGAGACTTGGAATTCACTGTTGAAAAGGTGGCTAGAGGCCCACCGATGAGCGTCTAGACTCTCCCCAGACCTCAGGTATCTCTGGGAGAGGAGGTCCCTGCGGATAGATGAAACAGGTGTGCTTCTGCTGGTGGGGCAGCTGATAAACCTGGCTTCAGCAGAAAGCCCAAAAGCCTTGAGGCTCATGATAACACAACACCTGAAAACACTAATCAGTTCTAGAAATAGTCCGAACTCCTAAAATGAAAAAAAAAAAAAAAAAAAAGATTAATGCCCAGAGAAATAAATTTCTCAAGGCCTCAGAGAAGCTCAACAATGCCAACTCGAGAGCCCAGCTCTTGTCCTCATGAAGTACTGGGCACTTCCAGCTGGGCCTCTGACCCTTGGGAACTAGACGAGAACATGGCACTGTGTGTCAGACATAACAGCATCACAGTGATTATGGAGGTGAAGCCAGGTGGCCATGGCCACTGAACAGTCTAGGAGAAATGCTCCCAGCGACACTGAGGACTGTGGAGACAGTCTCAGTGTGCCGGTGACGGGAAAGGACTGCTAGCTTGGTTACGAGCTTGTAGACCCATTTGCTTTGTTCTGTGTGGTGCTCTAACAGCAAAAGAAACTGCAGTGGCTCCTGGCCCCGCCCCACCTCAGCCCCACTAACTACCCAGCACTAGAAACACAGTCAGGACCATTGCCTCTATTCACACAGGCTGAGTGGCCTCTCTGACAGGCAGCACCTCTGACTAGAAAAACTTGTCCTTTGTCCCCTAATTCTTACCTGTAGGCCTTGGTATAATGAGGCAAGACTGGGGCGGGGTCCTGTGAAGGCTAAGGGTGAGAACTAGAATCTCGGGCCTACTTCACTGCAGAAGTTGAAGTGATGGAGTCCTGCTACCACCCTAGAGACCGGGGACCCTAAGGAAGTGAGGTTCTGGGGGCAGGGTTCCCCTATGTGGTTGGACAACCATAAATATAAATCTCTGGCTGTTGACCCATGGCCCCATGCCAAACTTCTGATCCTTCTTCCCTATTTTATTTTCCACTTCAACTCAACAAGTCACATATGACGTATGTCATAGATGATTAGTTTTATAATATAGGTCGCATGATCATATATAATCACAGTCAGTGACTCTGAGCACAGGACAATGGTGAGCAGGCTCAGTGTCCACCCATTTACTCACTCACCCATCACCCATCTTACTTTACTCTTCAGCACAACTCATGGGCCAGGCACTGCCCAGGGACTGAGGGGAGGATCACTGACAAGACTCGCTCTGAAAGGTCATAATCTGGGGGAAACACAGAGACATCTGCAACCATAATGTAGGGTGCTAAGCAGTCGACTTAATAAAAGGGGGTGCATAGTGTTAAGGAAACCTCAAAAACTTTGTGTCAAGAATGCAGGTGCAGGGTCAGATAAATGGACAGGACGGGAAATGTCTTCCATGACGGCTATATTGAAATGGACCCAAAAGTCACACACATTCACCAAGCACCCTGTGCCTGCGCCTGGCTAGGCCTTCAGACCACAGAGAGGAATGAGATGGGGTCCCCACCCTCAATTAGCTCAGAGCTGGAAGGGGGCCCAAACCCATGCTAATCTACACAGCAGAGGTAGCACCTAGCAGTTTGAGAACATATTTACTGGGTCTACATATTATTTTTACTTTTGTATTTGAATTAATCAGTCACTATTAGTTAAAAATCTGGACACTGAAAATTTTTTAAATTGAAGTATATTGGAATCTTAGCACAGGCCACCATAAAAATATACCATAGACTGAGAAATATATGAAATCTATTTTCTCCCAGTTCTTAGGCTAGAAGCTCAAGATCAAGTTTCTGGTGAGAGCCCTTCCTCTCCTGTGGATGGCTGTGTTGGCCCAGGGTACCCCAAAGCAGGAGGAAGACAGCCAGCCCTCTGGTATTGCTCCTCACAGGACAGCAATGCCACCAGGAGGCCCCGCCCACATGACCTGTCTAGCCCAGATACCTGCTAAGGTCCATCTCCAAACACTGTCACACTGGGGGTTTGGGCTTCAACATCGGGGTGGGGGGTTTCACAATTCAATCCAGAGAAATTAAAATACCAGGCATTTGGGAAACAGCTCTGAAGCCAGAAACTAAGGGCACTTCTTCACAAAGTCACAGAACAAACACTGAGCTGCCAGCTGCCGTGTGGGGAGGAGCGGGACACCCAGCAAATGCCGAGGAAGCGACGTTGGCGGAGACACAGCCAGCATCACTTTGAGTCAGCCTTTTCAGCACAAAATATGCCTTTAAAAGCAACGCCCCACACTTTTTAAACTTCCGGTAAGATTTGCTATAATTCTCATTTCAAGTATTTGTTCTAATCTCTTATTTTAGTTTTCTTTGATAGAATCCAGTCATGTATACCTTGTCACTTCTCAGCTTATAAGTATAGGTTTAATCTAATTTTTCTCTCGATTTTTACATTTTCCATCATTAGATCTTTTTCTTTTATGATATTATTTCTTATGCATATTCACTTTTAACTCCCTTTATAAGTGATGTTTTCTAAAATGGTTGTTTCTTTCATTTCATTATCTCTCCTGTAATCTATTGCCTGATTCCCTTTTTTTTTTTTTTTAAGATTTGTTTATTTATGCATACAGAGCTGGGGTACAGGCCTGAGGTGCAGGGGCAGTGAGAGGATCCACCAGAGACAGAGTGGGGAGCAGAACAGGCAGATCGATGAAGTCCACTGCTGAGGGGAGCAGCAGGCAGGTCAGGAGAGGCCTGCTGTGCCCCATGTGGACCACCTCGAGGGCGGAGATCGAACTCGCACTGAAGAGGCCGTGGCTAGCTTCATAGTGCTGAGCTTCAACCCATTGCGCCACCAGGGAGGGCCGGCCCCTGCCTGATTTCTAACTTCCAATTCATTGTTCTTTTAAACCTGTGTCTTTATCTCAGTGAGATAATTAGGTTATAGTCTTCATCCATGAATAGTGGAAGGCTTGTGTGGACACAGCTGGGCTGCACTCGGAGCTGCCCTCGGGCTCTAGGAGGACAAGGACATTGGATCCTACAGGTGCAGCAGCCATTGCAGACAAGCGCCAGAGCCACCTCTGGGTCTCGGACTGGGAACCAAGGCGACAAGGGGAACGCCGGCGGGATGGGGGGCTGCCAGGCGTCCCCAAAGCAGGGTGACAGAGAAGAGCGGAAAGGGACGCAGAGACCCAGCCCACTCGCTCGCTGGCTTAGTCACCGTGTGGCTATCACAGCAAACCTACAGGAGTCCAGGCGTTGCTGAGGAGCTGAGGACACAGAGACATGATGCCGGCACCTTCCCACCCAGGAAGAGAACAGACTCGTGGTCGGCAGCCCCGGTCCTGAGCGAGGGCCGCTTTCACAGACAGGGAGTCGCTGTGCCAGCACAGAGCAGGGGCAGGGCCAGTGCAGGGGCCGGGAGGGGCGGGGCGGCCGCACTCAGCAGGACGGGCACTCTGGGCACGCACGGGGCACAGCCACAGCGGCACCAAGTCCGCAGGGCCAAGCCTCGGCCCGCCTGGCGAGGAGGTGTGTGCCCGGGGCAAGATGGGCAGAGAGCATCGGGGCCAGGCTCAGAGGCCTGGGGGTGCCAGGCTCCCCCGTGTGAGGGGCCCCGGAGGGTGCAAGCAGGGAAGGAGCACACTAACCTGGGGGTGGTGGGTGGGCAAGATGGGGCTGGCAGGGAGGGGCAGGAGGTGGGGTGTCAGAGTGGAGGGGGAGGTGTGGGGAGGCCAGCAGCCACCTGGGCTGAGGGGGCAGCAGGCTCAGAAGGAGCAGGGGCAGCCTCAGTGTTTGAAATGAGGCCAAGACTTAATGATGTCGTACAGGGCCTGCCCAGGAGACAGGGTATTGACCACATCCTTTTGCCCCACCAGGAGGTAGCTGGGAGTCAGGTACCCCTTGTCCACAGCACATTCGATCAGGTCCTGGGCTGCCTGCAGCGCTGCGGCATTGGGCGAGACACCTGCAAACATAGCAGCCAGTCAGCTGTAGGTTCCAGGCCCTGCCCAAGGCACCACCCACTCCAGACGCTCACCCACCCCACCCCCAAGTTAGTACTGAATAGATTCCTCCACTGCCAGTCACCCTCTATACACACAGAAAACACACTGGCTGTCGGATTCTTCCTAAATCACACGAGCAGAACCCAGGATAAAATACACAATTATTCTAAGGGTGTACAAAGCCTTTATCCACCGCAAAAATTAGCCTGGTCGCTCTCACGGGGAGAAGTTTAGCCCCCTAGGTGGCATTTAGTATGTATAGAGACATTTTGGTTGTCATAACAAGGGGGGGTGGCTACAACAATATACCCTAGAACACACACGGGGTCCCAGTACAGAATTATCTGACCCTGTGAGTCGGCAGGCCAAGGCTGGCCATCCCTGTGACCACACATTTATTTCCTGACCCTGCCAGCACTCCACCCCAACGCCCAGGCCCTTCTTCAGGCCCATCCCTGAGTCACCTCAGTCCTTGGCCAATGCCCATCCTAGAGTCAACCGGACCCTCCTCTTCCCAGAAGCTCAACAAAAGGCTCCTGAGTCAAAACAGACTTCAGCCAAGAGGGCTAAGCAGTGACAGCTCTCACTGCCAGGGACAGGGCTCACGTGCGGCTTTGTGCTCACTTGCTGTCTGCCATGCAGAACAGAGGCCTAAAGATCTTTTCCTCATCTTACACAAGTTTAGATGTCAGAAGAAACAGACATTGGGCTGGATAGACTGGAGGCGGATGTTCTGTTGGGGGATGTCGCCTGGCCACACTGAACCTACTCTAGGTTCAAATTTGAAGCCTGGTCAACACAGCCTACCAGGCCCCAAAGTAATGCCTGAGTCTGGCGCTGTCCCTCCACCACCACCCAGTGACCACCACTGCCCGACGCAGCCACTCACCTGAGAAGGTGCCCATGAAGGCAATGCCCAGGGCAATGTCATTGTAGCCATCAGTGTGGGAGCCTTGGACATTCCAACCCACTCCTTCATAAATGACACCATCCTGGCCCACAAGGAAGCTGGGGGGTCAAGGGAACATGGAGGTCAGCATGAGAGTCGGGCATTCTGGGTAGTTTCATCCACCTGACCATGCCTTCACCCACCTGACCCATGGTGAGCTATCTCCTCAGCATTCACTTACAAAGAGGATAGTGCTGTTCTCATGGAGGCAGGGGAGGGCAGAAGGCCCAGATGTATGGCCTGTGCTGATTTCTGGGGTGCACGTTTCCCACCACAGCCTATTTCAGGCCACTCATGTTTAACAAGTGGCTGCAAAAACTCCTGAATCTCCAACAATCATTTGTAAAAGCCCATCGGTCTCCAGCACACCACTGCTAGCCCCAAGCAGCTCAGAGCTGTGAAGCCAATGGTGACAGCCTTCTGCCTGAGCTTCCACACCTCACCAGTGAAACTGCTTCCCCAGGTGACCTGCAGTCTCCTCAGACAAAATCAATTCTCTGACCTTGACCTTCAGGCCTCTGTGCATTCTAGCTTGCTGGCTCCTCCCATCTTCTGTAACATTCCCTCCCCTTAACATCTGTGGCAGGGTACTCTCTCCCTGCCTTCTCTGGCTGCTGCCCCTCAGACTCATCTGTACCCCATGTTCTTGCCTACATCAGCTCCTCAAGGTAGAACCCTCTCTTTTTAATACTTCCTTAGCTTCAGCTGCCATTCAAACCCATGTATCTACACCTGGACCCACCTTCCCTACCTGTTCCCTGTCTGAGCTCCCCACTGTGGTAAAAGACACCCCATCCTCCATGGCTCCAACTAGGAATGTGGGTCTCAACCCACCACTTGACCCATACAGCAACCAAGGTTTGTCAAGCATATCTCCAGGATTTGCTGGACCCTGCATCCTTATCATGAACACCTCACCACTCAGATTCCTCCACTTTATCCAGGACAGCAACTACCACCCGGCCATGATGCCTTCCTGTCTGGACTGCAACACAGTCCCAAGACTGACCAGCTCGCCACCAGTAACAACCAGAGTAGTCTTCCTAGTCTTATGTCAAGACTTCTGTTCTTGTTGCAGCACTATTTATAATAGGGAAGACTTGGATCAACCCAAATGCCCAAAAAGAGATAACTGGATCAAGAAGACGTGCTACAGCTACACAATACAGTATTATCCGGCAATCAAAAAAGATAAACTAATGCCACTTGCAGCAACATGGATGGAGCTTGAAGGGAAATAAATCAGAAAGAAAAAGGAAAAGACTGGATTGACTTTTACTTATAGGAGGAATATAGAAGATAAAGGAAAAAATAATAAAAACAAATACGTACAACAAAACAAAACAAAAATAAACAGACAACCACAAATCCCTCTCCCTCCTACAGAGGGAGGACAGGGATCAAAAAGGGGAGGGAAGAGCACAAGCGACTGCGGAGGTGTGCACGAGGAATTGGTGCTGGAAACTTTATAGGGGTTACCCCTGGGGAAAGAAAGCAAACATTGTGAGGGAAAAAAAAAATGAATAGAATCATTTAAATGTTTATGAAAAAGACCTCTTTTGTGTCTTTTGGCATGGAGGGCAAACTCTCAGCTTAAGTACAAGATCCTTTGAGGTTTGGCCTGGCCGTTTGGAACAGGTTGCAGAGTGACTTACCTGAGCTGCATGCCAGAGAAGGCCCATCCCAGTCTGTGAGAGAAGCCACCGTCGTGCACATGGACACATCTCACATCGTGGGCATGGGCGTGTCATTTGTCCCTTTTCCTTCCCTTTCAAAGTTTCGATTTCTGCTCCCCAGTGTTAAGAAGCCCGCCTGTCCTCAGGCCTACTTACTTATATCTAGTGTCGCAGGTGCTGTATCTGTCCATGAAGAGGGACTGGATGTCTTGGACTAACTGATGGCACTCATCAGACATGTGGCAGGTTCTCCCCGCAGTTTGGATGATGATGACGTACTTGGCTGGGAGGCTCAGTTTGGGGCAGTGGGTCTCTCTAGCCTTCCAAGCAGGCCTCAGGACAATAGTGGGACATGCTGTGCAGGGGTGAGACAGGAACATGAGGATCCGCCTTGCTCCCCACCATCACCACCCCATAGCAACACCTGAGTTCTGAATATCCCACCACCTTGGCATCCTGCCCAGGGTAGGGACTCAGAAAAAAAAAACAGAAATTCTTGATGGACCATGGGAATGGGCTGAGAGGCAGGAATCAATGAGCCATGGGTTCTAACCCAAAAGCAGAAGCCCAAGGACAGTGGCCATGTCATCCTGAGGAAAGGGGATGCTGTGCTCCCTTTTGGAGAAATCAGCTGAACTTTTATTTGAAGCCATGTCTTTGGGAGCCATTTATAATCTATGAAGATCTCCATCAAGCAGAGCAACTATTACCACTAAGAAATGGCACCGATCCAAAAGCATAGAGGAAGTTTACGTATGTGGAACTTGAATCCTGTAGAGCTAATTTTCTCTAAAATGTTTTTGAGTCTAAGAAAAGGCTGAAAGTACTTATTAACTCCACTATTTTTGATGCTGCTTCCTTTTAAACCCAGTATCTAGTTTTACCACCAAAATTCTGTTCAATTCTTCCTATAAATTTGGTGGCTGTGGTAACTTGCACACTTCCATCTACCGTTCTGACGTCGGTATTCAGAAGGGTTTGCCTTTGTGCTTGTGTTTGTACAAGCCCCATCCAGGCATTTTGCTCCTCCATCACGTCTTTCACAGTAAAACACACCAAATGTGTGCTCATTTGTTTATTATCTTTTCCTACCCTCTAGCTGGAAACTCCAAGAGGGCACTATTTTTGTGTTTTGTTCCTTGGGATGACCCAGTGGCAATGCTGGATGATTGAAGACATGAGCTGCATATGTTACACCTGCATGAAGTCGTGGCTGTGTCACTCTAGGAATCTGGGGGACAAGCAGGTGACCCGAGGGTCCCTCTCAAGGTCTGCTGGCCCTAAAAGTTCAGAGAAGTATGGCCCTCCCTGGTGGCGCAGCGGGTTAAAGCACAGCACTGAGAATCTAAAGCCACTTGCGCATAAGTTCGATTCCCGCCTGCCCCGGAGGTGACCACATGGCGCGGCAGACCTCTCCTGACCCGCCCGCTGCTCCCCTCAGCAGTGTACTTCGTCCATCTGCCTGTTCTGCTCCCCACTCTGTCTCTGGTGAAGCCTCTCGCCGCCCCTGAGCCTCTGGCCTGTACCCCAGTTCTGTATGCACAAATAAATAAATCTTTAAAAAAAAAAAAAAAGTTGAGAAGTAGAGTGACCAGTTGCCTCTAGAAAAAAATCCTGTGAGACCATGATGGAAGATGTCCCTCCCTTGGCGGGTGAGGGGATCTGGAAAGACTCCCGGAAAGGTAGGTTGAAGGGCCTACCTTTCTTGGGACGTGCCTTCTGCTTAGGGGCCAGGCAATTCTCGCCTTTCACAAGAAGTGGCTGAACGAACATGGGAGACAGGTGGCCCTTCAGCATCGCGTGGAAGATCAGACCCTCCATGGCTGACAGGGCGGCAGGACTGGGACTGTGGCCTGTAAGAGAGGAAGCTTGGTCCGGCTTGAGTTTCAAGGGGTTCCGTGGGGGAGGGTGAGAAGCCCCGCCAGCCCCGGCATAGCTATCGGAGAGGAAAAAGGAATAAGTTCAGCCCCTATGTCAGAAGGCCTGAACATCAGTCTCCGCCTGGAAGGAGGCTAGTGGTGTGGGATGAAGACATTCCCCAGCCACCCACTGAGACTTCACTCATCCACGGAGCGCCTGCACAGGCATGCTCAAGCGGCCAGAGTAGGGTTAGCCATCCAGACTCTTCCAGCTTCTTTACCTGTATTCACTACCTTTGAGGTAGATGCTGTTATTAACTCCATTATTCGCCAAGGGGAGCTTTAAAATCCAAGAAATAACATGGAAAGATCCCACAGCTGACAAGGGAACCCCCAAGCAGCAACGAATGTTCATGAAAACAAACCAAGCTGAACACAGAGAGGCCTGGGTGAGTGGGAAATGTTCTGATTCTTCTTTCATAGCTGCTTCACCCTGCAACATCTGTGCTGCACTGGCTTAGGGCAGGATCATTAAACTTGAATCTGGACTCTCTTGAAGAACATGGGGTCAGTGAGAAACAAGAGGTGCAAGAGCTCTGTGCATAGAAACAGGGCACACGCCACGTGAGGCTGCAGGTGGCAGGGCTGAGGGCAGCCATAAGACTAGCAGAAAGCGGATAGGACTTGGAGACTAGAGGCCTTGAACAGGCTTTTTTAAATTGTGTAGAAAATCTCAGGGTAAGAAAAATGGAAGGAGGAGGTGGGGGCCGGGCTGCACAGCCTAGCACTATGTACACACCAGGGCTAAAGGAAGGTGTGATCATCACTGACATGGACATAGGAGACGGAGCCAAAGCCTTCCAAAGGCGGAGGAGAGCAAGGCGGAGAGCACCTCCACTATGAAAGGACCAGAGTAAGAGAGGCCCACTCCGGAGGCGGAGGAGGAAGCCAGCACCCTAAGCAGGGGACCTGAGGATGCAAAAGTCGAGAGAGAGGATTCGTGCAGCTCAGGAAGGCGAGAAGACTGCGGTGCTGGGACAGCAAATGGAGAACTCTGAAGAGAAGGGCAGTGAGGTGACCGTTACCTTCCTTGGTGCCGAAGAAGGCGAGCCCCAGGGAGACGTTGTTGTAGCCCTGGGTGTGCAGGCCTTGGATGTCCCAGCCCACACCTTCATACACCCGGCCGTCGTCTCCCACCAGGAAGCTGTGGGCAGGGAGATGCGGGTTCTGTGACCGGTCAGCAGTCCGGTTCTTCTACACTAACGGGGATGTGCGAGGGGGGCTGAGCTCAGGAATGGCCGGTGAGGCATCTGGGCACACAATAAGGGTAACGGAGGGCCCCCTCCCGGAGGTGCTCCCCACCTGCCTCCCTGGTCCAGATGTCTGGGCTTTCTAGAAACCATTCTGCATACTCAGCAGGGGAAATGGGCTTGGAGCCACTCCAGGAAATAAGAGCATCAACCACACAGGTTCAGATTCTTCCTGGCCTCCGCGTATCCTAAAACATGACTCTCCTCCCTCCAAAATGCAAGCGGCCATCAGGCTGTGCCTCTGCAGGGTCACTGTCCCTTAGAGGCTTCCCACTGAGCTGCACCTCATATGATGCAGAGGCAGGCAGCTTTGGGGGACACAACCCCAGAGGAAAGGGTAAAGGAGCAAGGAGAGAAAGACAGACAAAATGTGTGGAATTGGGCTGGCACTCTGTCCCTGCGGCCGGTCTAGTGACTAGCGCACCTTGGAACTGCCCTTCAGAAGGGCTGGGTGCTGCGGAAACTCCCTACCTGCTCCCGCCCCAGAGGGCCATTAACTCCCCTCCACACTCAGGAACTGGGTGGAAGACGAAAGTGGACAAGTCCATGGGTACTTGAGGCTGGAAGTGGTCACTGTGCCCAGGAACTGTCAACAACTCAGAAGAGTCAGAGCGGCCCAAGGGCAGTTATAGGGCCTGCAGGAGCCACCATTAGGGTCGGAGTGACTACAGCACCACCAAGGGAGCGCCCCCTGCTGGTGTGGTATGGGAATTGCAGGGAGCAAAGAGACTTAGAGCTGGTTGGCGCTCTGGACTCTGCAGCTGCCTGACTTTGGGAAAATAAAGCCCACCTCCCTCCCTCAAGCCTCTCATCCATAGTGTGGAGCCGTAGGTAATCCTTGACAGGCGCCTCCCAGGCTGACCAGTCCGCACACAGCATTTACCTGAAACTGCAGGTACTGTGCGGGAACCAGGTTTGGGGAAATAGAAAATATAATCATTATTGTTGTTCCTCATTGCCTTACAGAAAGTCCTGAGAGCTTAGGAATATATAGGGTCTACTAACTATTTTATTCTATTCAAACCTGACATAACTACAGCCCAGAAAAAAAATGAAAGAAACAGAGATGAGAGCAGCCAGGAGCAGGTTTGACCACTGCCCACCTGACCACCTCCCGAGCCCACCCCACCCCCACCCGCCTGCCTCCGGCTTGGTCACTGCCCCAGACCCCATCTGCTGGCCCCTGCCCGGCCCAGCCGCCTCTCACTTGTAGGCCAGGCCACACCAGCTGTTGTTGTGCATGTGGTAGGCCCGCAGCTCCCGCAGCCTCTGGCCACACGTGGTCTGGTTGTGACACTCCAGTCCGGGTATGTGGTGTGTGACAAGAAAGTCCACTGGCCGAGCCAGCTGGGTGCTGCAGCCCACCTCTTCAGCTCCCCACTCCTTGTGCGACACCATGGTGGAGACATCTGTGGGGTGGGGGACAGGAGGTGGTGTCATTCTGCTCATCTTGCCCCATCCCCACATTAGTCCATGGGCCACAGCTGCCTTGCTGGGTTGTGTCTGCCCACAGTGGTGGAAAAGCCCAGCAGGGGAGCTTCAGCAGGCAGATACCCTTCCACTTGTCACCTCCACATCATCCCTGTTGCCCCTCATCACGTGGAGCTGAAGTTGTGCCTGCCCAGAAAAGCCTAGACCTAGCTCCCTGACCCCAGGCCAGCCCCACCCTGGACTTTGCTATCTTGCAGCTCTTGCCCTGCTCAGACCCCCAACTCCAGCCCTCACCCCCCACCTCAGGAAGCAGCTCCATCTCACTACTGATCCTGGGAGCCCTGAGCATCCTCCCCACCTCCCCTCAGCACTAACATGCATCACAAACGCTATGCTCACTGACAGCTCTCTCTGTGACTCTGGCTCTCTGTGCAGGCCCACAATCGCGCCCCCCCTCCCCCAGCCAGGGAGTCCTCTTCAGATGGGACCTGGGTCTCCTTCTGTCTGAGGACTCCCTGAGGGCAGGATGTTGGTCCATCTCCGGGCCAGAGGGTGCCAAATTTGCCTCTCGCCTTCCTGGTTCTATTCCTTCCCATGCCACCCCTCCCCACAAGGTCTGGAACCATCCTGTGGGTGGTTTATAGGTGCCCCTCTCTGCAGCTCACCCATCACCCCAGCCAGGGTGGCTGTGCAGTGCTCAGAGACCATTCTGGTCGCATGAGAATCCCCAGTCGGCCCACAGGCCTCCTCACCATTGAGAACCGGTCTGACTTTTTCAATGAGCTGGGAGATGTTGCTAAGTGCGTACTGAAGCAACTCCGACCTGAGCTTATCTTGCGTCTCCTCCCAGGGGGCATCGCCTGTGAAGGAACATTCCAGGGGTGGTTCTCAGGGACTGTCAGCTGGAGCCGGATCAGCAACACAGGCCCAGCCCACAGGCTACTCCCGGCCTCCACCTAGCCGCCCCCGTCACGTGAACCCCCACCACGGAGCCCTCTGGAGAGGACAGAGGACCACCTCCACCAGCTGTTCGTGGAGTGATTGCTCCATCACCAACTCCAGGACAGCCAGGGCAGGGAGTCCCAAATGAGCTGCATCAGTGCACACACAACTGGCCCCCAAAAGGGAAAATAAACCACCTAAAGACATAGCATACTAGAGAAGCATAAAGTCTTCTCTAGTAAGGACTGCACCTGCTGGGAGCTGGGAGGAAGTGTGTGTGAAGAAGGGACTAGAATCACCTGTGTGGGTGGAGTCAGTTCCCCAGGGATTGTCTGGGAGCATTTGCTAAGCCTGTGCTCCTGTGTGAGGGACTTCGGGACCAGGCACAGCATGTCACCTCACAGCCCCACCCCAAGGAACCTTCTTTTACTGACAAGAATAACCCCCAAGCTCTGACTGACGTAGGAGCACACCCAGAACCCTCGCCCCGTTGCTTGGGTGCTAAGTTTCCCACATGCCTTCTCCAGGGAGTCCTCACCCTAGTTTAGGAGGTCAGAACCTCTGCTCAATTTTCAGGTGGGCAAATAGTCTTAACGAGCTGACTGACTCGTTTAAAAATCATGGCTGGAGGCAGAACAAGGATTTGAACCCATAGCTGTGCTTCTAAATGCAAAGTTCTTTTCTTCCTAAGAACACACGAGCATTTTTAAAGACTTTAGGATGCCCCTTCTCAGTTATTCTCTGATCAGTGAGGGAACACTCACCCCAGGCTCCGAGACCCAGAGCAGAGAAGACCAGAAGCCACCGCAGCATCCTCTTGGGGTCCCAGGCACTGATGGGAAAGTGTGGACAGCGGCCCTGGGAAACAGTTAACCAGGCCATGCTTACTCAACAAACGGCCCCCACCCACTGATGACTCCCCCACTTCTGCCAAACTGGGGGTCTCTGAGCGCCAGGACCTGCCCAGGCTTCTCAGTCCTTGGCACGTGCCTGTGCACATGGGCTGGTAAAAAGCCGGCGTCCTGTGACCCCGGGCAACTCAATTTCATGGCAAGACCTGGGTGGGCACACGTGGTCTTATTTAGAGTGGAACCAAGACATCCAAACCCACAGCGGTAGGTACAGAGCAGACAGAGCCTCCCAGGTGGGGACCAGGTGGGGTGAGAGCAGTCCCGGTTCTAAGGCAGAGGAAGCCTCCTCATCTGCACATTCCACCTCTGGATCCTTCTCAACAGGAAACACTCGCACGCTCACTCACGCTACCTGTGGGTCCCGGCGTCCCAGCCCACAGCTCAGGCTCAGCCGCCCCTCAACTCGCCTCAGTTCCAGGCTCTGCCCACCCTCCGCCTCCAGCCGCCCGCTGCGCACACTAGAGGGCGCGCCCGCCCCGCGGATGGCAAGGCTGGGCTCTGCCTCCCGGACAGCTCAGGACAGCCTGGGGTCCCGCACCGCGCCAGGAGGGGCCGGCTCCAGGCTGCAAGCCGGCTCCTGTGTCCAAGGCTCTGAGAGAAACCAGGTGAGCCCAGACTCCCTGGAGCAGGGACGCGCCCTGTGAGCAAGCCAGCACCTCCTTCCTGGGAAAGGGCGCGATTGCCCAATGCTGCTGAGCTCCTTCCTCATGCCCTGCCCGGGCGCCATGCACCCTTGGGTGCCCGTGGGAGGGGCCGTCGGCTCTGGGCGTGGTGCGTGGGTGTGTGCGTGTGTGGCGGAGGTCCCTCGCCCACCAGCGCACCCTGCCCCCTCTCAGCGCGGGGCAGGAGGGAGGCCCCTTCCTGGGCAGCTGGTGGTGTGTCCCCGAGCCTCTTCCACTGTAGCCTGCATAAGCAAGTGCCCCAAATCCAGAAAGGTTGCTCTGATGGGGCTGCAGACTCACCCTCCGGCCTGGGATTCCCAGCAAAGCTTCTCCGAGATCTTTGAATGGGCACCTGTCCCACCCATTGTCTTTTCTGGTCATCCATCGAGGCTCAAGCTGAGGGGAAAAGAAGGGGTGGGAGAGCAGAGCACGACTGAGCTGTCAGGGCAGGGCGGGGTGCAGGCGGTGGCTGGAGAACTCTAGCCTGGCCTGGGCGGTAGGCACCCAGTGGGTCCCAGACCTCCCTGACACACTCTGTTTTCCCAAACCTCCTCTGAGCCCTGTCCTACAGTGAGGTCTGTGGGCTTTCCTCCAGGCATCCCAAGAGAACTGAGGAGACAGAGTGCCTCTCTCAGAGGTGTTTAGGGGGCCAAAAACACAAGGACAGCAAGAAGGTGACTGCCTGAATGGACAGGAAGCAGGTAGCATCCAACCCCCTCAGAGACCCACAGTTCTGGACAACCAAGACCCAGGGGCTCCCTAAGGCAAACAAGGGGAGCAGTAGGGGGTGTGGGCCGCCCTGTTCTGGCACTGTGAATTTAGGACTGGTCACCCTCCCCAGATGAGGGCCACACCTCACCCCTCACCTGGATCTGGAGACGCCAGCCTGACTTATTCAGAGCAGCCTCTGCCAATAGTCCTAACTATTAGCCTTAAAGCCTCCCTTCTCCTACCCAGATGCTACAAATTGTGACAATGTCATGATCTCTGAGAGCCACTCCCACCCAGCTCATCCTCAGCACCTCAGAAAAGATGGAGAAATGGAAGGAAAACAAGCAAAGAGGGCAGGAACACGATTATGATTCCCAAAGCAGCTGCCTGAGGCAGCGGTGCTCAGAGAGTGGTTCAGGAAACCTGAAAAGCCCAAGACCTCTTCATGAGATGAAAACTATCTGCAGAATCAGCTATTGTTACAGGCACCCCAGTGTGGACTGGGCTGCCTGTCTGTGGGTCCTCACAGAGTTTAAAATTTAGTTGTTCTGCAGGCACACACAAAAGGGTAATGGGTCTATTTACTAAAGGGGAAAGGAAAAGGAACAACCCAGGGAAAGAGAGAGAGATGCAAGGTAACTAGAATATCTTACTAGCCGGCTGACTTGGAGCTCTGGTAACGCGCTATCTGAAAGCCCCCCAGTCACACGATCCCAAGAGCCATTGCCCGAGCAAGAGAGCACCGTAGAAAATAGCTCCCTATTTATCCCCCAAAGTCCCAGAATGCCTGCATAGCTCCGCCCTTGGGTCCTCACAGTTCTCTCCTTGGTACTGCTGGGAGTTGTAGTTTCCAATCACTGGAGTAGGAGGTGGAGTCCACAAAACGCTGCAGAGTTCTTTTAGGACATCCTTCCCCTTAATACTATCACTGTCCTGAACTTGACACAACGACACTAGATGTCACTATGCTCCTTACTATGTTCTTTAAATGAAAGGTTTACTTGAGAATGTTGATGAAGCAGTCAAAATTATTCATTTTATTAATTCTCCATGGACACCATGATTGTCCAAGGGAAAAGCACTTCACTGGGGAGCTGAACCAACCACTTTCCTGTGGAGAATCATTTTTACTCTGAGGAACAAGTAGCCAAACTGGATATTCCTGCTAGGGTGAATAGGGAAGACATTGTCTCAAAAACCACCAGAATTCAGCATATGGAGAACAACCAAGGGGATGTGTTAGCATCAAGCAAAATTTGAAATTTTGGGAAATGTGTTTGCTACCATGAGCGTGGCTGTTTCTCCAGACATAAGGCTATCCCAAGACTAGGTGTAAGTGTGATTTGAGACAAATTTGTGGCATATTCAGAAGACAGGGATAACTCAACTTTATTTAGAGATTTATTTATTTATGCATACAAGAATTGGAGTGTAGGCCAGAGGTGTGGGGGGTGAGAGGATTCACCAGAGGCAGAGTGGGGAGCAGAATAGCTAGATAACTGAAACACACTACTAAGGGGAGCAGCAGACGAAACAAGAGAGATCTGCTGTGCCATGTGGGTCAGCTCCCTGGCTGGGGATTGAACTGTGCTGCAGTGGCTGGTGATAGCTTAACAGCGGTGTCTTTAACCCCTGCACCAACCAGGGAGGCCTTGGCAAACTCAACTTATCTGTATTTTCCCAATGACCAATATGTGCAGCTACAAAACCATGCCTGAGTGAGCGGCCATCTAGCTGGCTGGGCGGTGGGTTCCAGTATAGAAAAATCACAAAGGACTCCTAGATATGGCTTCACATCCCCCACTGCAACTAACTGTAAGAAAGCACCACTGTGGGGCCCTCCCTGGTGGCTCAGTGGGTTAAAGCACAGCACTGCCACAGCCACTTCAGTGAGAATTCAATCTGCTGCTCAGGAGCTGACCCACATGGCACAGCAGACCTCTCCTGACCTGCCTGCTGCTCCCCTCAGCAGTGTACTTCGTCTGTCGGTCTGTTCTGCTCCCCGCTCTGTCTCTGGTGAGTCCTCTCACTGCCGCTGCACCTCTGGCCGGTACCCCAGTTCTGTATGCATGAATAAATCTTTAAAACAGATTCTGACTTCATTTTAAAAAAATAAGAAACCACCACTTGCTGCATGTTGGAACCTTATCAAAGAAGACGATCCACAGCGAATTTTAAGCACTAGTAATGTATTAGTGTTGCCAGCTACTCATTTGTATATGTCTGAATTTTCTGCATATTTTGAACCAACATCTACATATACAGAACAGTGAATGCAGCTATCAATGTGAACATCAAACTGTCTTCTTTTAAGTCATATATTAAAGGTGTTTGTAAAAATTTTATAATGATATTACTCTTCTCTACCGCTCCTTTTTTTGGAAAATAAAATTGTTTTTGTTTAATGAAGCATTTGTTTAAAAAAGTTTATTAATGCTATTTTAAATTAATAAGTATCCTAAATTTCTTACATTTCTAATACAAGTATTAACGTATGTAATCCACTTAATCAAGAGCTCTGGACGTCACTTAACAGCTTTTCCAAGAGTAAAAAGTTATGGAGAACAAAAAGGTTGAGACTTGGAAGCCAGAGGAAAGCCACAGGCGGTCCTGATGAAGGTTGGCCACCAGGGGGCAGCACACACCCTTTGCTAATCCCAGGGAACTACCTCCCCTCCCCCCATAACCATCCCTCTTCCCACTTTCTCCCTTCTCTGCATCCTCAGCTGCACAGCTTCTTAATTACAGGAAGTAACGATCTCAGCTCAGGTTCCATCAAAACCAAGTCAGTCACATAGTATTTTGCAAATTTTGTAGCAGATGTTGCCTATCAGATATGTCAGTGCCAGGACACAACCCAGGGCAAAAACCCCGCTCTCAAGGGTCATCATCTAGCAGGAGAGACAGACCAGTGATTAGAAGGCCAAAATAGTAACGACTGTGAAACACATGGTCTCGTCAAAGGAACTTCTGAGGGGAAGAGGAAGCCAACAAGGAGATACTGACATACTCCCAGGAATCTCTGGAAGGATCTGGAACCTCAGGGACAGAATGAGGAAAAAGCAGGTTCTGAAGAGTAAATTAGGAGAAGAATGAAAACGCAGAAGCCAGGGCCAGAAAAGGGAGCACCACAGTCTTCTACCTGAAAAGGGAGCACCACAGTCTTCTACCTGCAAGGTAAATTTCCCCAGGGACCACAAGAGTCCCCAGGGAAGAACTGAGGTAGAGTCAGGAGAGTTCAGACTTGGGAATGTTCGGGCCAAGCCTCTAAGAAATGGGTGGCAGGACTTTCCTCACTGTGACTGCTGGAGAGGCTCGGTGGGTGCAGGGAGAGGGAAGCTGCTGTGAGCAGGAGTTTCCCCACCTCAAAATGCACTTGGGTGAGACCCGGAGGCCACTAGGGGGTGGTCAAGGCTTGGTGTGCACTGAGCAGAAGTGCAGGTCAGTGGTCTGAAGTCACCATGAATCCTTCCTCTGTGTCTGCTGTCTGCGCCAGGAACAGAGAATGAACAGTGAGAGGACAGAGAGTATCACAGGGGTTGTATTCAGGAATCCCATTGCAGAAATCTCCACAAAGAGCACCAGAAAGTAGTGGACAGAGACAGACAAGGAAGACAGGCAGGGTAGAAGAAGAGGCCCTGGGGGAGGGGAAACCTGATTTCATCTGCGGAGGGAGCAGCAGACTAGTGGGGCTCAGAGAGGGGCCTGCAACCACAAGGTTTATGGTTTTCATGGAGCCCACAGGAAAGTGCTAGACATGCCTGCAAGGCCAGCCAGTCCACTTAAGGGACAGGAAAATGGAAACTCAGACATGGAAATGACTTCCAAAGCCCACCCAGCAAGTCTGACGAAACTCAGACTAAACCCAGCTCTCAGCCCCCCATCACTACAAATGTTCAACTAGGGTCCCATCAGCTAAACGACTCAGAGCCTGTGTGCTTGGCAATATGCCCCTCTGTAACCCCTAGCGTCATATCAACAACTCAGGAGGGGTCAGCCGCCTGCAGGACAACAGCAGGACAGCAACGGGGAAGTGGAGAGACCCAGACCACTCTTGGTGCTGGGCGGAGGACAGGGGACATAGCTAGAGGATGATCCTGCAGGAGCCTCTGCCTGCATACGGGTGTGTGGGTGAGTTGCCTGCTTGCTGGCTGGCTGTTAATATAACTGAGGCAACCTCCAAAGACACTGTCTAGCACCAGGAAAATTGCTCTAATTTATGCCCTAGCAGGAGGCCAGGGCACCTCTCTGCCTACCACCGCTCATTACAACTTCTGTACTTGGTTGGCAGTGAGGAGACTGGGTGGGGGTTGGGACACATATTCACCAAGCCAAGAATAAGTGGCTGGGTCAGAGCCTCCATGTTCAAGCACTGACCTCACTCCAGTCTGACTAGCCTGGGACAGTGGTGCCTGCAGAGGCCTTATAAAATGGGGGCGACCCACTATCAACCCCAAGTGCAGCCTCTTATCTTTTCCATATGATATGAAGGTCACAGTCAGCGACCTTCCAGAAAGTCATAGGTCAACAGACCAGTCTTCATTTCATGCTCAATCGTTTCTTCATAACATGCTGTCCTGCATTTTCTCATTCGATGAAATACTTATCCAATGAGTATGAGCCAGGTCTTAGCTCCATCCTGGGCTACAAGAGCCCCGCCTCAAGAGCCCTGCCTCAACAAGGGAAGGAGGCAGACCTGAAAGTTACGAACACATGACAGAGCAAAGTCATATACTGTCTGCAACAGTCATACTTTCCCCCCACCATGCTTTGTTGTTAATGTTGAGTTTTTGGTTTTTTGGGGTTTTTTTTTTGGGGGGGGGGCGGTCAGTTGACAAATTTTATAAGAAGGAATTTTCACGTTAAAATTTCATATTTCAGGCCCTCCCTGGTGGCACAATGGATAGGACGCAGTACTGCAAGCTGGCCACAGCCACTTCAGTCAGTGGGAGTTCGATCCCCAGCCCCAGAGGTGACCACATGGCGCGGCAGATCTCTCCTGACCCACCTGCTGCTCCCCTCAGCAGTGTACTTCTTTGATCTTCCCTTTCAGCTCCCCACTCTGTCTCTGGTGAAGCCTCTTGCCGCACCTGTACCTCTGGCCTGTACCCCAGTTCTGTATGAATAAATACAGAAAATTTTTCTTTGAAAAAGAAAATTTCATATTTCCTGGACCTTCAGAAGGTCGGCAACACTTAGTTTACTTTCCCGTATGGTAAGCAGCCTGAGGCTGGATACCAACAGTCCTTCAAGGAACACTCCCATTTCCAAAGTCTCCACCACTCCCTAGTTTCTCCAACCCTGAGGCCCCATATCAGCTGCCACAAATCACGGTACTGGTAGTGCTGTCCAAGAAAGTTTCCCCGTTTCTCTTCTAAATCCTGTCTCCCCCCCCCCCCAACCCCGGAAGCCATGCCTCATAAGCCAGAATGCTATTATTATGTAGGTCTGTGGGCAAAACCCGTCCCTCTCCAGGACAAGCCCCCAGCGGCTCCCACCCCCAGTGAAGGCTGAGCACTTAGCACAGCACACACAGCCCCTTCAGCTGCTCCCCCTGGGGAGGGGGTGCACAGGCCCCCCCTACCTCCACACTGCAGCTCTTTACCCCAAGCAAGTGTGTGAGAGCTTGGGTCCAAAGTGAACCGTGCTTCAGTAGAGACTGCAGGGGGCGCTATTGGCTCATTCAGAGGCCGTACCTACACAGACACCAGAGCAGAGATTTCCTCACAGCCTGAGAGGGGAGCCCAGGAGAGCAGCTTGCTGTGATCTGTGCCTCTTCTGCTATTCAAACAGTGACAAACAGACCTCCTTAAGTGCCACTCATGTATCGCTGATCATTACTCATTCATTCAAGCACACACTCAACAAGCATTCACAAAATGCTTTCTGTATACCAGGCCCTTGACTTAGTATCCACAGTTTAAGCTGTGATTAGGAATTTAGGATGTGAGATTATGTCTCCTCATGTATTGCAACTCACTAAACTCCTCCCATATTCATATCTGGCACACAGTAAGTGTTCAATCAACATTTGTTGTATGATCCTCCTTATTTACCAAGGAATTCCTACTTGACATCTACTACTTTAATCCTCAAAGTAGATCTTGTTATTAATCAATTTTACTGATTTTTTTTAAGTGAGGCACAGAGAGGTTAAGTAACTTGGCTAAGGACACACAGCCCGTCTGAATGCTCACCACTATTCCATGTATCGTCTCCACCATAGAAAGCAGGACAAGCTCAAGGCCAGGGTTCACACAGGAGATGCCCAGGACTTCCAGAGAGCAGATGTGGAGGGGCCAGGCAGTAAGGGAAGTCTTTGGAAGACTGGAAAAGGACTATAAGGCAGAACAAAGAAACATGATCCCTGGTAGAGGGGGAGAGGTTAAGGGAAAGTGTCCACAGTTGGGCCTCTACACATGCATCCTGGGATGGGTACCAGTGAGGACACAAAACAGATCACTCAGTAAATGTGGGCATCTCCCCAGTGCCCAACAAAATATTCAAAAAAGCTTACTCCAGGAGAGGAAGTGTTGAGAGTCAGAAGTGGTAAGGAAGACTTGGGAGAGGGAAGAAATCCATTCCCATTGGGAAAGAACAGAAAACAGGCTTCCTGAAGAAGGTGGCATCTGAAACCGAGCCAGGAGGGGTGGGCAGGACTGCACCTTTCAGAGCAAACAGGACACTCCGGAGTGAGAACATCAAACACAAAGACCTGGAGTGCCGGGGTAGGGGGCCTGTGCACCCCCTCCCCAGGTGGAACAGCTGAAGGGGCTGTGTGTGCTGTGCTAAGTGCTCAGCCTTCACTGGGGGT